AGCAGCTGTTGCCTGGCATTTTTACAGACTCTACCTGGTATGGGGCTGAGGAGGCGCAGTGAGTCCAGGACAGTGTCTCCTGCCTTCATTCCCTTCCAGGCAAGGTGATGAGACTGAGAACCCCTCTGGGGATGGAGATGACCTGGGAGGAGCACAGAGTCCCAGAGCGAAAGTCAAAGGAGCTTTGCAGGTTGAAGTCAGCCGTCTTACATATTATGGGAGGGATAGGTACTTTTGTCTTTCTCTTGCTGCCATCCTGGGGAGAAGGCATCTGCCCTCACTTCCAGTGCATCAGCTGGAGGGCGCAGGTTGCTGGAGAGTGGAAGCCACTCTAGGCTGGGTTGTGCAGAGTGGGCATCCTTATGGCAGGGGGGGCTTGCAGGAGGGAGGGAGCAGGAAAGACTCCACCAGGGCCCGAGGGGAAGGACGCTGGCCACAGGAGGGAGGGAGCAGGAAAGACTCCACCAGGGCCCGAGGGGAAGGACGCTGGCCAGCCCCTCCTGACCCATCCCTGCATCAAAACCCGGTACTCACCATGCCCTACTTGCCACTCTCTGTCCCACTCAATTTCAAACCAGTCTGCCTTCGACCAGCCTCAGGCCTCAGCCCCTTTGAGCTGTTTCTCCCTCACTCCCTCCAACTGTCAGTCAGACCCCCAGGTGTTTACTGAACGCCAGCTCCAAGCGAGGTGCGTGGGGATCCAGAAGCAGGAAAGACACGAAGCTCGGTGTGGTGGGGGCGGCAGTGTGAAGACAGCTCAAGGTGGCCACGACCAGGTGCCAGGGAGTGGGAGAGACTGGGTGTTCCACAGAACTCTGAAGAGGCAGGCGTGCCTGGGGGCTGGTGGGCAGGAGAGGCAGTTTTGGAGGCGCTGAGAGGTGACGTGGACCTGTGAAGATGGAGAAGGCAGCTGGCAGGATGGAAGCAAAGGCCCCTCGGGGGGAGTGTGCGTGGACTGCCTGGGATTTTGAGTAGACCAGTGTGGATGGCTGCAGGGAGGGCTGGTGGAGTCAGTGGGAAATAAGCAGGATGGAGCTTCAGTATCAGGCTAGGGGGTTTGGATTTCACTGGTAAGCAGTGGGGTGCTCCACACTTGAAGTCAGGCCAGTTAGGAAACTTGGCTAAAACTTGGCTTTGCTCTGTGTATGAAGTTGGCTTTCTTCCTTTAGAGCTGCACGGTCCAATATGGAAGCCACAAGGGGTTATTGGGGACTTGGAACATGGCTAGTCCTAATCGAGATGTATTGTTAGTACATAATATACACAGGATTTTGAGGACTTAATATAAAAAAAAAAGAATGCAAAATAACTTTATATTGAGTACATGTTGAAATAACATTTTGGATATGTTGAATTATATAACATATATTATTAAAATTAATTTCACTTATCTCTTTTTTACTTTTTTAAAGGTGACTACTAGAAAATTTAAAATGACCTACGGGGCTCATATTATTTTTCTATCAGACAGCGCTGGTTTAGAGTCTCTACAATATCCTTTTATCACTCCATCCCTTCCTCTGTAGTCATGTGCATCTTCTACTTTTCTTTATCTTTCCACAGCTTTTCTTTCCTCTTCTTGCCCTCTTTCCCTCTGTCATTTTGGTCCTCTCCTCTTTTCATTGTGTGGTGACAGACGGTGGAGTGAGGGCGGGGACTGGGGGGACCCAGGGCTTGCTCATTGCCACAGCCCCTGGGCTAGACTCATCAAAGCCAGAAATCATAAGGCAGAGAAGCACTACTTATTTGGGATACTTGTGAGAATCAAGGTCCTAGATAATTCTTTCCTGGCACATCCAGGTCAGAAATTCTTTTTATGTCCATTTCTTTTTGCAAATATTTATTTTAAAAAGATTTAAGAAAATCTGTCAATGACATGCACCTCATTTACAAAGCTGAATAGACGGATACAAGACACATTTAGTACCACAGTTATTGTGTGGCCCAAACTCCCTTAACCTAACACTTTCAACTTTTCTTCAGGCACTTCCTAAAACACATAAATTACTATGTAAAATTCTAAATAAACCACTAGACTGCTATTTGTTCATTTTCTAATTTCTGATATTGTCTATGTTCTTCACATTATGGAAGAAATGTCCCTTTTTGTTCTAATAGAGTTTATTAATTATTTGTTTTATCATTAATATATAAATATTGTTTACCACTGAGCCAAGTAGTAAATAATTATACTTTCCTGTATGACTTTTTCTTTTCCTGGTAGTAATAACTGCCTCTTTTTTTTTTTTTTTTTTTGATAAATTCTTACCAAATTCTCTACCAAATTGTAAAATTCCATCAAATACTATTTCCATGTGACCAAATTTATAGATAACCCTATCGTTTCCACCTCCCCCCATACCCGTCGGAGCCTCCACTGTCCTGTTCCCCCGTGGAGTGGCTGCTGGGGCCCCGCACAGCTGTGTGCTTGCGAATCCCCTCACCTCCTAGGAGTGAAGCTCCTGTTTTCTTTTTCCTCTTTCTTGGTTTGCATTAGTTCGTCTTTGAGAAAGACTATGGAGAAGGTTAATTTTTCTGGAGACCCTGCCTGTTTTAAAATGGCTATATTCTATTCTGACACTTGGTTAATGGTTTGGCTGGGCATAGAATTCTGGATCGAGTCTACCACCATACCACCCTGAACGCGCCCGATCTTGTTAGAATTCTCCGTTGAAAATCTCTTTACTCCCCTCAGTATCTTGAAGGCAGTCGCTCCACTGTTTTCAAGCTTCCAGTGTCGCTGTTGAAAACTGTCACGCTCTTCTGATTTCTGACCCTTTGCATGGGACCTGTCTGCTTTCTCTCTGGAAGATGTTAGATCACCTCTTTGCCCTCGGTGTTTGCACATTTCACCGTGAGATGCCTGGGTGTGGGGTTCTTTCCCCAACCAATTTTACTGGGCACTCAGAGGGCCTTTTCTATCTAGAAACGCAGACCTTCAGTTTTGGGAAATATTTTTTGTAATTTTTTTCATAATTACCTCCCCATTGTTTCCTCCATTTTTGTCTCTTGCTAGTAAAATGAAGAATCTTCTGACTGGATCCTTCCACGTTTGCATCTTTTTTCTACTATTTCTCAATTCCTTCTCTTCTCATTCTACTTCCTGAGAAATGTCCCCAGCTTTATCTTCCAACCCTGCTATTAAATTTCAGATTTCACCTGATATATTTTTAATTTCCAAGAGCTCTCTTTCTTGTTTTCTCATTGTTCCTTTTTAAAGAGCTTCCTGTTGTTTCATGGATCAAACACCTTATTTCTCTGAGGATATTAATTAGAGTGTTCTGAAGGTGTTTTTTTTTTTTTTTTTTTTTTGGTCCTTTCATTACCTCTGTTTCTCAGAGTTCATTTTTCTTTTTTAAAAATTTGGTACATTCTCTCTCTTTTCCCTTTGTCATCTTCCTCAAGAGACTGGTCACCCTTGGGCTGTCTGTTCATGTTGAAGAGTAGGTCACTAAAAGCTGTCCAGAAGCTCTGTGCACCTGTGCATGAGAATGGACTTTCCCACTAACGGGCCTCATTATTGAGTGGCCAGTTGGAGACCCAACCATTTTATTGGGGATGCTCTTAACTGAACAAAGTACCTTAGAACTCTTTCTGGGACCAATGATTTTCTTTAGAGAGGCACCCCCAATTTCTAGCCTGGGTCTATGGAGGGTGCAGGGAAGGGGTACATGCCTGGGTGACACTGTTTTGGCACCAACTGGCATTCAAAGGGCAGAGGATTCCAAAGTTCCCTAAACTTTCATTTAATCCTCCTGCTTTAACACAGTGCTGTCCTGCTCTCCTCTGCCTAGGGTCACCCCCTCATCCCCTACATTGGAGCCTCTCTGGGAGTGGTAGTCTCTGCTCTACATGGGGAAAGGGGAGGAGCTCTGGGAGTAAGTGCTCCTTATACAGACTTGTAAGCAGCCTCCCTGTTCTCAGCTCTACCCTCTCTCCTGCCTTCCAAAGTAGCCACTGTCTCCAATTCCTGACCCTTCCAGCACTGGGTGGTAAGATTTGTCTACTTCTTGTTGACCACCCCTTTGGTAGGCACTTGGTTTCTGATTTCTCAGCTCTGCTAGTTTTTCCATCTGCTTTCCATCTTCCAAAAATCTGTTGACGCCTGTTGCCTGCTGATGTCACCTCTCCTGTTCTCTCTGTCCTTGTCTGTTTATCTTCTTTATTCTTTTGCTCTCATTTTAATCGGGTTGGGGAAGGAGTAGACATGGGTTGAATCTGTCATGTTTAGCAGGAAATTCTTGGCAAATCTTTCTGAAGCGCTGGGCCTACTTCTTTCCCTCATTAAAGGATTCCCTCCAGTGCCTAGAGCTGGATTTTTGCTGATGGAGAATTAGTAAGGCTTTCTTGTCATCAAGCTCGATTTTATTTAGAAACGTACTGGAGCCTAAATTAAATGTAGCTGAGCTCATCTTATACCTGGATATGTCTGCTTTTAAATAGATTATAATGTTCTAATAAATTATTTAATTATTATTTAAAATAAAAAATTATTTGTGTAATTTTTTTTTCTTAAAAGTGCATGCAAAACGACTTTTGGCTGCTTTGTCTCTGGAAATTAGGACTTCCTGTGGGTTGGGTCCTGGCTAGCCAAGGTGTCAGTGAAATTCAGAACTTGGCTGGACTGGACTAAATTTTCTACATGTGGCATCTATTTAAAAAGATAGGGTCAATAAGATTTCACAGGGGGACTCTAAATCAAGAAAGCTAAACAACTTTAGGGACCTTAAAACTACTTTAATAAGCATGTTAATTATAAAAAGGATGCTTATCTGTTCATTAAAGAAAACACTCCCCTCCCCACAACACATACATGTCCAGACGCTTTACTTGGCAGCATTAAAGATAACCGTATGTATATAAAGGTGATGAAACTGCTGTGTTCTAATGAAGTGTTGAGTTTCACCAGCTCCAGGCTGCCCCCTGGGTAGGGACCAGGGTCATTGTGCGGATGGCTGTGCTGGTCCTCATGGAGACTTCTCTGTCTTTGTCCCCACCAGGTGCCCCCTTTCAAAGGTCTCAGCATCCTCACGCTACCTCCTGCCGCCACTTCCACCTGGGCCCCCCACAGCCGCAGCAGCTCGCCCCCGACTTCCCGCTGGCACACCCCGTGCAGTCGCAGCCGGGCCTCAGCGCCCACATGGCCCCGGCCCACCAGCACAGCGGCGCCCTGCACCAGTCGCTGACCCCGCTGCCCACCCTGCAGTTCCAGGACGTCACAGGTCCCTCCTTCCTACCTCAGGCCCTGCACCAGCAATACCTCCTGCAGCAGCAGCTCCTGGAAGCCCAGCACCGCAGGCTGGTCTCGCACCCCAGGTGGGTGCCGCCGGGGGCCGGGGGGCGGGGTCAAGGGGGAGGGGGAGGAGGGAACAGGATTATGGCGGGGCCTGAGAGG